TACAAATATTTTTTCAATCATCCTCTAAAAAAAAAAGAAAAAAAAAATCTTCTAAAAATATATATATGTAACGTCCATAAAAGAGCAGTAGTATTTAAAGATTTAGCTGAAAATATCAAGCTTTTTACGTAAAAAAAAAAGCTTTAGTTGCCTTTTCTTCCCCTTCTCCTTCTTCCTTTTTTTTTTCTCCTTCTTCTTCTTCTTCTTCTTCTTTTTCTTCTTCTGCTTTTTTTTTTAACCTCTTCATCCTGTTTTAACTCCTTGTCAATTTTGTTTCTACCCCTCCCTACTCTGTTACAATAAATGGGTGCTTCACTGTCATCACCATTAAAAACTCGACAATCAAACGGTTTTTGTCAGCAGTTGTTCAATGTTCCTGAGCCATTACCGGTTTACAATACGGGTAATTTAAGTAATCGAAAACATCAGTCGGTGTTTGCAGCTGGTTGGAATTGGTCTAAGAAAGCCACTCAACAGGTATAATATTACCATCACTTATTGATGATATTTTATAAAGATTTTTTTTTTTTCTCTAATCAAGATTTCTATACAAATTTTTTCATCCACAACTCAGTAATTTATAAAAAACTGCACATTTTTTTTTTTCAATAATTTATTCAGCTAATTTATAAAATAAATTTTTACGCCTTATTTAGGGCGTCACTGTATTTGCATTACTTAAAAACTGTTTGTTATGGATAAGTGTTTAAAAAACAAAAAAAGTGAAGTGGATAAAGAGAGAAAAAAAAAACAATTGAATACTTGAACTAAACAAAACATAAAAATTTAAGATTGATATCAAAAAAAGAAAAAAAAAAAGCATTGAACCTCAGAGATTTGTCTAATGAAACAGAATTGCAGTAAGTACAAATCTGTAACGACACATTGTGGCAGTTTCAGTTTTTTTGCTCAACATTTTTTGAACTTTATCGATATACCAAATTGAATATTTAAGCAAACCTAACAATTGACTATTTTATTCTATTTTATGACTGTTTCACATCTATATTCTTTCTGTCTATTTTTTTGCAGCTACAAAGCCAAAGTACCAAAAAAGCACGTGAAGTAATGTCCAAATCGGTCAGCTCATTTTTGCTGCATAATAAAAGCCGTGATGAAAATAATACAGATATACCTCTATCAAGATTATCAGTTATCTTGGATAAAAATCAAAATTATAAAATGTATGATCCAAGCGATGCAGTTAGTACAATTAATCGTACCAATTCATTTGACTGCGATAAAACTACTGTAATTGCCAATTATTACTGTATTCAAGAGGAAAAATTGAAAAACTTCAAATACAACAAACAGGTTTGTTGAACTTTACATTTTCAACCAAACTGTTACTGTCATTTTATATTCTCTTTTCTACTATCGTTTTTCATCTTTTTTCTTTTTTCAATTCACTTCTGTCAACATTTATTTGCAGCATTTTTCTTTTCTTTAAATTTCAGACTTAATCACAATTAATGCAGAAATTTTTTGAAACAAACTTAGATTTCTCTCTTTTTTTTTTCTACTACTATTGATAAGTGATGGTTAACAGTTTTACCGCTTCTGTCCCATATTTTATACCATCTTCCATTTTTTTTTATCTTTTAAAAAAACACATTTATTATTGCAGGTACATTACCAAATTGTCTTAACTTTCATGTATTACATTTGAAATTGTTCCTAAATAAATAAACCGTCATTTGCTACTAAAACCGGAGTGAAAAAAAAAAATTTTTTTTTTATTTTTTAAAAAATAATAGTCAAATAGTCAAAAACCTTAAGTACGCACTTGAGATCCCTTAGTCCGAACTATAGTTGACAGAGAAGGAAAAAAAAAAAACGAAGAAAAAAGTCAAGAATAAAGCGATTTTTATTTTTCTCTTTTCCTATCCTTTCCTTTTCTTTTCGCAAGTGAATGTTCATTTTGCCGTTTAAGGGCAATATGCAGTAGGAAAAAAAAAAAAAAA